GAAATCGTTTTTTCAGACATTCCCAGTTGGCAATCGTTTTTATGACATAGCAATCTATTTTATAAGACCCTCAACATTTCCACTTCATAGTTTAAACCGAACAGAATATCCAATAAATTCATGCTTTTCCATCAATCGAAGTTCGATTATTTAATTTTCTATTATTTTCCTGAATTATTCATTTCGACTATAATATAATTTTGTTCTCTTTTAAACAGCAAATATATATGTATATATATATATATATTTTTCCGATACAAGGAATCAAAACCATGAGGCTAAAGCAGGCGTAAGGATACTAAAATCTTCTCGGTCTACTTCACATCAAATCTATTTTGTAATCTATTCTTGGTCGGTCTATCAAGTTTAAAAAAAAATAGAAATTGAAAATAATTTTTTTTATATACTGATTAAAAATTCATCTTTTCAAAATATATTTGATATGTGTAATGACATTTTTATTTCTGTATTTTCATAAACGTTATTTTTCCCAACATATGTCCGAGGAATGTATCGACTGTCACCCTGGAATGTGGCATCAGGAAAGCTAATATCAAATCTTCGTCTGTTGTTTTCCTTGGCATTTGTGAACAATATGAAACCATTTCTTCTCACATTCAAAACTATGGGTTATATAAAAATAATTAGCTGGACCTTGTAGCCTTGGTTGGCTGACAGACTAGAAGAATGACAAGTCTGAATTAAAAACTGCAGAGAAGACCACATGAAACCACTCCACTATCTTTCCTAAGAAATCATGTCAAATTACAGAGAATTAAGAAAAAGTTAATCGCCAACGTCCTAGAAGCTACTGGATTTTTTCTTTTATTAATAAAAATACAGGGAATTTCTCTTAGCAAGTAATATGTTTATAATCCATGCTGTAATATTAAAAAATAAATTCATAATCCATGTTGTAAGCACTGTAAATAGATAAACAATTATTCAAATGTTTAGCTAATACCTGCGTCCGAGCCCTACCAAGTAATTATATCAGAGGTATTATATAACAAGTTTGGGTGACTGGAAATCTTTTGTTTTACCAAACTCTGAAAACTATTTGTATTTGTCTCGATCCACAGGTTTTAACCAGCAAGTTTCTATACAAACTGTCTTCTAGGAATCAATCAGCTCTGTTGAATCTTTTACATCCGTAGGAAGCGAGATAGATTCTACCAAAACGATGTGAAAATTCGCATAGTTAAAGCTTGCTCTGCCTTGAATAAAAGGTTGTAATCCTGAAATCTGATCTACCAGACATCCACACACGGAGATTATTTCAAGCCCTCATAGAGGCGATGTTAATGTATAGTCTACTGTCTGGACATTAACTAAAACCATAGAATCTGACCTTCATGGTTCTTACATTCGCATGCTGAGAGCTATACTTAACATTTCCTGGAGACATTATCCAACTAAATCACAGCTCTATAGGCACATCCCTGATATTTCTACACTCGTAGACAAACTCAGACTGCACTATTCAGGACACTGCTGGCGAGCAAAACGAGATCTCGCTAGCGATCTACAGTTCTGGACACCTCTCCATGGAGCAAGACGAGTTGGTCGTCCAGCAACCATCTTCATTGATCAGCTATGTTATAAAACAGAATCCTTCTCTAGTAACCTTCTGACCATGATACACTGCCGTGATGGTTGTCGTGGTAGACTCATTATTCCCCGAGCTAAATGGACCGAATAAATAATAATAATAAAACGATACACATTCATAATACTGTAATACTACAACTAATTATAAGATATTATATATGCCATTCAATTGAAATACACTATACTCTTAGTCACAGTGAAAATCTCGATATTTCTTTTTAAGCATTTCACCCCAACAAAGGCGGGAAGCCACTATCACACAAGGGGTTACAGAGAGTGAAAGTAAGAGTAAAGAGGGGTGTTTGAAGAAAGAATAAAGAGAAGGACGGGGAACAAGATTTAGTCATCAGAAGATGTCAATTGATATTACATTTAAATATTTGAAGTTTATAGCTATCAGAGAAGCAAGTAAGAGGAAGGGAGTTCCACTGTCGGGAACTGCGAGCGAAGAAGCTGTTGAAATAAAAGAGGCGGTTACATAAAACCGTTTCGACAGTGAAACGATGTGACCAAGATGCCAACCTAGTAGCACGCTTAAATTCATGCAGCTGGGGTACCGATGAAAGTACCTCGTAAGAGCACTTGCCATGAAAGTATTTACTAGAAAAGACAAAGAGAATCTACATCACGTCTCTGAGAAAGTGACTGTAGATGAGATGCCAGATCAGGACCTACTACACTGCATGTCCATCTTTGGATTTTGTCGAGAATCTGGAGATGAACAGCGGGGACAACAGACCATATATGGCAATAGTATTCAATGCAAGTAAAATTAGCTACGTCCATATCACGTCGAAAAACCGGTTTCCGTACGTTCACTGAAGTTAAACCACATCGAGCCTGGTTAGTACCAAGATGGGTGACCGCTTGGAAATACAGGGTGCTGTAAGTTTGGATATGCGGGTGGTGTCATGTATATGGCTCGGAATTTTTATCTGAAAGTCGAGTTCCAATTACCCTTGGGTTCGTTATTTTAGTTACATTTTATTTGGGAAATGTATGAACCACCTCTTTTCCCCCTGCTATGGGTCAATTAGTAAGACTTTTATCACTAATTCATTATTATCTAAAACAATTCTTTGCGTAAAAAATATTTAAATTTCGGCATTAAATAACCCATAGATTTTGTTGTGCCACTAAACAAATTCATTCGACAGCTAACATTACCTTGCTTCTAAGCTCTGTTTTAACCGTTAGAAGTGGATGTAAGTCAAATTTTGATGTTTCACTTTAGTAAGAAGGAATAACTTATATTCTTTGTAGTTCTGACGTTTTTCTTGGATTCGGTTAATGCTGCCGTTAGGTAACGCTACATTCTTCAACCGAAAACCAGAATTTGTTTATCCACCATGTTTCTGTATTTGAGTGGTGGGTTCAACTTCAAATAGAGAAAAAAAATGTCAAAGTGAAATATATAAAACGGATATGCCATGCATAATAGAAATCAGAGCGTATCGTACGAAAAGCTGTGTAAAGATACAAGGATGACGAAGATACTGGCTACAATAATGTATCGAATTTTGAATGATATTTATTTTAGAACTTTCGAAAAATGACGACTATCGTAGAATGTATAAGCCGAAATATTTTGAAAGCAAGAAAAATAAAGACACTTTTCTGGATAGAACTTTGGATGATCATTTTGTTATCGAAAAGAAAGAATTAAATGAAGACATTTCAAAGCACGCAAAGAAATTAAAAAATAATTTAGTATATTCGATCCGGAGTTATAAAATTATTGACTTAGTAATGTTTCTTTCTGAAATGAATTTATAAACAAATTGAAAAACATAGTTATTATCTATTGCGAACAAATTGAAAAGTATTGATTCTCTCCACGTTTTGGCAGTTCTGTACTTTAACCATAATTAAATATGGCAGCTACATGAGTGGCTAGTTTGTTGGTTATAAAAACATTTTGATATATTACGAATGCCCATCAAGGAAGTAATACATTAGAGCTCTTAAAATCGCAAATTTTTTCTACGTGATTATTGTAGTTTAATTTTATTTGTTAATGTCTTATCAAATCATGTATCTAAAGAGATTTCGGTCCGTCTTGAATAAAATGGTTGTAATCCTGAAATTTGAGCTACCAGACAACCTTAAACGGAGATTCTTTCGAGCCACCGTAGAGGCTAGTTTGTTGATTATAAAAACATTTTTGATATATTACGAATGCCCATCAAGAAAGTAATACATCAGAGCTTTTAAAATTGAAAATGTTTTTCTATGTGGTCATTGTAGTTTAATTTTATTTGTTAATGTTTATCAAATCATGTATCTGAAGAGATTATTTCTATTTATTATCAGTCGCTTGCCATAAGAAGATAGTGTGGATTCTCGTTACTTTATCCACGGATTTGAAATTCAAGTAGTTCTTCTCTATGATTGGTAAACCTTTTTTATCCGTTAGCTAATCAATAAGATTTAAGAAGAAGAGACTAGTTCATGTTTACCCTAAAGGCTTTAAATGATCGCAATAAATATTGTTCAAATTTGTGAGTGACTCACCGACTCTATTTTAAACTTTACGCTTATTTTTGATTTTTGCTCATAATCAACCCGGAATAGGACGTGCATGAAAAAGACACACTTCGGTAGAACGCCAATCGATTATCATGCTCTAACAATATGTGCAGAACGATTCCAATTAAATACGCCCAACTGTGCCATAAAATGTAAACTTCGTCGAGAGCAATAAAATTTTTAATGTCATAGAAATTATATGAAAAACATTCGGGAGATTACGTGGGATTCGCGACACATAAATATTGTCTTATGCGCTGTTTTGTTTTAGTAATTTTTTTGTTATTAATCAAGCTGTGTTAGCAAATATTATTGCATTTTTATGTCTGGATTTATTAGACGAAATAGATTAATTATTAATTTTCTACTGGTTTATTTTTCTTAATCTTGATGCAGTCGAGAATTTCAACGATTCTCGTGTTGTTTGTAATATTCTATGGTTATGTAAACAGTATAGATGACAAAATTAAAAGCTACTTTCGACTACATTTGAACTCGAATTCCACACGTTTTGGTGCAGATAAACAAATAAGAACTGAGGCAGATATAAGAGATTTAATTTCGTTTAAGTGGATGGTAAACATCGCCAAAAACCTTATTCGGTACGGACCAATATCCAAATTAAATAAAGGAATAATGCATAATGGTTCACTTGAGGCATGCAAGCAGTATCATTATGCATACGCTTTTAACGTAACCCTTGACCCGACTGGCAAGTCTTTTCCGAGAAAAAAACCGAATTGATGAAGGTTTTAGTACCTCAACATACAGCGGAACTAACTACTATTTTTACACTCTTTCCATCGTACAGACTGTTGTCCTCATCTTTGTGGTCATGCTCACAACGTTTCGGCCGTTGTACGCTCCGGCCTTCTTCAGGTGATTAGAATTTCTAACCGAATCATTTACGTCGTGAATATTCCAACAAAGATGAGGACAACAGTCCGAACATCGTAAATAGAGTAAATAGTTACAATGCCTTATCACAGAAATATAGACAGACAACTACTATTAATATTGCATATTGCCTAGATATAAATTTTGGCACGTCACTGTATGTTTTCATTTGTCTTAAGCAATACATCTTGGCATATTTATTATACACCCTTGTTTTGGTACACAATCTGTAAGGAAAACAAATTTATGTTTTTTCATATGTAAAGAATTGTATATACTTATGAGACAAAAATAAGTACCGCTATTGAATAAACTATGTATATATTCTCTTATGGATAAAGGAAGCGAATACGAAATGTTTGCGTAGATCATTGAGTTTATATATTCCTGTTTATTCCACAGCTGTCTAAATAATGATTTGTGTTTATTGAGTGTAACTACATCAAAAATGTTGTGGAGCAAGACACTGTCAAGCGTGAAGTAGAACTACTGGGAAACCTCATAGCAAGAATAGAAATTTGAAATATTGATAACAGACAACAATATTTACACTTACAAGATGCCCCCACCCCCGTAAAAGAAGACGCTGAAGACAGAGGAAAATACTCTGAAAATATGACTGAGTGGGCTGGAAGATAATTCACAGAGAATCGGGCATTGGTACGCAACCGAGACATGTGGAGGATGCTGGTCATATGCGCAGTGACCCGATGATGATGATTGTAAGAAACAGCGATTTTCTAAGCGTAGCTTAGATGTGGCACAAGGCCGAAAATTTTGAGGCACCCAGTGAATATCTAACTCACTACTCACTCATAATTATTCTAACAAGTTAAGCTTGCTAACCATTACACCACCTTAAGCTGCCCAGAAGGTCATTTTCTAAAAGTAGCTTAGATGTGGCACAAGGCCGAAAGTATGGTTACCCAGTTAGGATCGAACTCCGTATAGAGTCGTAACTTTTTTTGTTTTTTTTTTTAGCGAGACAAGCTTGTTAACCATTGCACCACGTTGAGGTGCCCAATGATTATAAGAAATATATCAAGGTCGGCAACATAAGCCATAGTTGCTTAATAATGCGAATATAGGCTGCAATAGTCTCTTCCGGAAACCAGAATTGTTTCAGTTATGAACAATAGGTGACCTTGTCTGGAACTAACATGATAGACAAACCAGCAAACTATTAGCCGTTTCATTACATGGAAATATATGGCATTCAATGACGCAGCAGTCAGTGCTACTCGCTTCATATTTCTGTTCATTCCCTAGCGATCGGACTGGCATCAAATTGTAGTATTTGTTTTCCTCATCTCTAAGGATTATATTAATACTAATCATTTCTTTATATGGAAATATTTGACATTCAATGATCAAGTAGCCAGTGATACTATTATGTGAAATTTATAACATATCTCTATTAAAAGAGTTTTCTTCAGAAAAGAGATTTCTCAAGTTCACTATTATTCTCTTTCCATCATTGATATGCGATTTCATCCTACCCTTTTGTTCGAAGTTGTGCGGAACATCAACTTCAATGTATGATTATTTTCTCGCCTAGTTACGTGCTATCAACTTTGGTCGTTGCTTCTACTGAAATTCTTTAAGTGATCTGCTTTTGTAGGTTGGTATGTTTTTTTTATTTGTGATTGTGTAGCGCCAATCACCGAGGTTTGGATAAGGATAGTCTTCACTAAGATGTACATGTTTCATTTTCTTGAAGCAATGTTTACCCACTAATCTGCGAAAGATGATGTATACAGGAGACAATTTAGAACTATCTGAACGGTTCGGGCGCCATATATGGCAGCCATATGAGAGTTTCGATCTAATGGGTTTATTTAATTATATAACTCGAATTCTCAGATTTTTGGTTTTGTAGCAACCTGCGGTGTTGAGCAAAACTACTTCTACCTCAGCCTATTCGAAGTTCAGTCATCTTATCTCCAACATCAAATATGTTATATATATATATATGGGAGGCACGGTGGAGCAGTGGTTAGCGGCTTGGATTGAGGAAACGCAGAGCCGAGTTCGAATTCCAGTCGAATCCACTACATTCACTTACGTGCTAATACCCTTGGGAAAGGTATGTATCCTCTTCATCTCCCTCTAGCTATGGGTAAAATAGCAGGACAGACTGGGTTCTATAGCCTTGGATGGCAACTGGTCTAGGAGAAGGACAACTCTGAATTCAAAACCTGCGGAGGGTCGTTTGGGAACCTCGTGGCATGCATTCGGTGCACCAGGTTTCTGTATTCGTCCCTCCAAAAAGTGTGGCTGGTCCTGCACAAGGCCTTCACCACTATAAACAAATCTCATGTGCCGATGTCGGTTTCCTTGGGACTTATCGGCCTGACCCTCATACGTCGAACGCGACGGGAGAGTCGATTATTATATATATTTAAAGTGGGTAGAAGTTGTTAATTTCACATCATGATTTTTATAATGAATTCCAGATAGGTA